CCAGACTTACTGGCAGGCGTGGGAAGAGCGCCTGTCCTCTGCCTGCCTGGGGGAGAAGGCGGCAGAGGGGTGGGATGGCTTGGGTCCCTGGCTGTGATATCCATCAGGGCACTCTGCCCGCTGAGCAAGGGTTTTGGTGGCAGGGAGCAGGACTGGACATGCTCTGGCCAGGGAGTGGGAGCCCCAGTGCTGCGTGCAGAGATGCCACTGGCTTTTCTGCAGTTCTGGGGTGCCCATGGCATGTCCCCAGTGTGCCACAAGCTCTCAGAAATGGGGCAGACTCCGGAGGTTTGCAACCACCCTGGCAGCTCAGGAGCTACCTGCGATTCCTCCCTGCTTACCAGCCCCTCCTAACCAGCTCCCTGCCTTCACCGTGTCCTGCCGGCTGAGTCTGCAGCAGGCTCATGCCACAGCTGGCATGCTCCTCTCCTTCCCTGGGGCATCCCATGGTGCAGGGACCCGCAGGGACCAATGGCAGAGCTACCCTGGCTTCTTGCTGCTTGGAGCCAGGATGCACTATCCATGGGGCACAGCTCCATCTCTGTCCACGTGCCTTTTTTGGTGACTGTCCCCCAGCCTGGCTGCCCCCAGCACTGCCTTTGCAGAGTGAAGCCCTCCAGCAGCTTCCCTTGGTTTTCCTGCCCAGTCATGCCAGCCAGCTCCATCATCTTTTTGTGTGGCTTCCAGAAGGGAAGGTGTCCCCCCTGAAAAGGGGACATCTTTAAAATGAAGCTGCAGTGTGGCCCTGGCTTTAACCCCCTACCCTACAGCTGGAGGAGCCTGGCTGTGGGCAGGGGTGGGCAGCACGCCCCTCTGCCCGGCGGCATTACCAAGGACTTTGCATGAATCACCTGGGGACGGGACTTTTTTTCCCTGGGAAGTGCAAGGGGGTGTTGGTGCATGGCTCTGTCTGGGGGTGTCTTGCTCACTGGGGCTGTCCCCGAGACCTGCTTTGCAGGGTGGGAGCTGTGCACTGCACCCTCAGGCTGGGTACCAACACCCCATTCCCCAGCAGAGCCACTTTGGGAGGGTAAAGACCTGCCCTTGCAGCCAGGTCTCGGTTTTGGCAGCCCCACGTCCCCAGCCCTCATGCTGCCCTGCCAGCTGCCCCCACAGAGGCCACTGATTGCCTGTCCGATCTGCTGGGACCCTCATGGGGCTGTGGGGCAGGGCAAGGGGTGATGGCACCTCCCGGGGGTACACAGTCCCTGGTTGCTGCCCTAACATGGTTCTCGATTTCATGCCCCCTCCAGAGCTCTGCGGATTGTACTGCAGTCGGGAGGAGGCTGAAGAGCAGGCTGCGCCTCAAATCGTGAGTGTCTCAGCAGCCCCGGGGGCCAGCCGTGGGGGCCCGGGGCGCCCAGCCACCCCAGCACCCTGCAGCCCTGTGGGAGGGTTGAGATGAATCCTCTTCCCTTCCCTGCCCCAGGCATCTCTCCTCCATAAGACCCCAGGCTGTGGGGCAGAGGGAGGTTTCTTCTGCCCCTGGGGGGTAGGAAAGTGGGTTCAACCTCCACCAAAAAAAGGAATGGGGGGACCTGGAGAGGGATCCTCACCCCCAGGGACATGGGCAGCCCAGGGCTGCATGCTCTCCGGTCTGACACTGATCTTCTCTCCTCTCTCAAAGGCGACATCTCTGGAGCAGCCTCCGGAGGGGTACCAGGTCCTCCACAGCGCCCTGGGCCACCACCACCATCATCAGCCATGCTCTGCTGGGCAACTTTGAGGTAACAGCACCCACCTGCCAGGGAGGGAGATGGGTCCTGTGGGCTCTGGGCTGGGCTGGTGACGGGCGTGAGAGGCTGAGCCCGACGGGAGCCCCAGCGTGGGGCTGGGCTGATTGTCCCCAAGGGCCTGGTGTGCAGTGGCCGTTTGTGCAGCCACCATCCGCCAGCGGAATGGCTCAGCCAGCAGATCTTTGGGTGACATGCTAGGACCCTAGACCCTACTGAGATGGCTGCCTTGGAGCTGAGCGGCTGAGCCGAGGCACTCTCGCTGCTTCTCTGTGTTAGATGGCTGGTTTCAGCCCACCAATTCAGGATGGGTCTGTCTTGGAGTGAGCAGCCAGGGCCACTCATGAGCAGTCTTCGGAGAGCTGGGAGACACACAAGGGCAAGCAGACGTGGTTGTGGTGGAGATGGGGGTGATCTCACCTGCAGCTTAGAGGTGAGGGGCAGGACTGGTGTTTGAAGGTCCCTAACGCTTCCCTCCTCTCTCAGGAGTCCATCCTGAAAGGGCGCTTTGCACCATCAGGGAGGATCGAGGGGTTCACGGCAGAGATCGGTGCCAGTGGCTCCTACTGCCCCCAGCATGCCACCCTGCCCGTTGATGTCACCTACTTCGACATCTCCGAACATAGCGCACCCTCGCCTTTCCTGGTACGCAAACGAGGGAGGGCTGGGACCGTGGGGGAGGTGAGTGGGGGCTGTACCCAGGCACTGCGCATCCTTGGGGGCTGCCCCTCTCCAGAGAGTGCAGCTCAAGCAACCACCTACCTGAGGAGACCGCTAGCTGTGCTGTGAGCAATATTTAACCCACAAAGTGAAGAGGGAAAGAAGCAGGAACCCTTGCAGGTGTATAAACAGGCAGGCTGCTGTCCAGCCATCTCATGGCTGCTGCTTCGCTGTCACCTCTGTGTTGCTGCTTGTTCATCCTTCCATCTGGAGAGGGACTGAGCTGGGCATTGTCTTGCCGCCTTGTG